GATTCTTGCATATGGAGGTAAAAGGCTAAGTTAAACAGTTGTCTTCATCACTGTTGCTCTTTTTTAGAGTAACAATCGGCTCCCACCCCATTTCTTGTCTCTAAAATGCCAGCACTGAGACATTATTGCTAGGGACAAATCAAAGGAGGTTTATTACCAACAAGTGTGTGCAGTTCGTGTGGAAAACCTGGCTTTAAAATTATTCAATGACGAAGCTGTTCAAAGATGTGGTGAAGTGAAAAAAACTGTATTTTATAACAAATTATTGAAAAAGCTTACAGCATCTGGTATTCCCAAGAGGTCTCCCATACAGGTACTGACCAGGCTCAACCCTGGATAGCTTCCGAGATCAGACGGAATCGTGCTTTTTCAGGGTGGCTTGGCCATAAGCGAAGGAAAAACCTTGAAAAATCTCTGAAAAATCCCTTGTGTATTTGTCAAGGTATGATTGTGTCGCCCACTGCAATGACTAGATTCTTGCATATAGAGGTAAAAGGCTAAGTTAAACAGTTGTCTTCATCATTGTTGCTCTTCTTTAGACTCTAACAATTGGCTCCCACCCCATTTCTTGTCTCTAAAATGCCAGCACTGAGACATTATTGCTAGGGACAAATCAAAGGAGGTTTATTACCAACAAGTGTGTGCAGTTCGTGTGGAACACCTGGCTTTAAAATTATTCAATGACGAAGCTGTTCAAAGCTGTGGTGAAGTGAAAAAAACTGTATTTATAACAAATTAGTGAAAAAGCTTACAGCACCTGGTATTCCCAAGAGGTCTCCCATACAGGTACTGACCAGGCTCAACCCTGGATTGCTTCCGAGATCAGATGGGATCGGGCTTTTTCAGGGTGGTATGGCTGTAAGCGAAGGAAAAACCTTGAAAAATCTCTGAAAAATCTCTTGTGTATTTGTCAAAGTATGATTGTGTCGCCCACTGCAAAGTCTAGATTCTTGCATATGGAGGTAAAAGGCTAAGTTAAACAGTTGTCTTCATCACTGTTGCTCTTTTTTAGAGTAACAATCGGCTCCCACCCCATTTCTTGTCTCTAAAATGCCAGCACTGAGACATTATTGCTAGGGACAAATCAAAGGAGGTTTATTACCAACAAGTGTGTGCAGTTCGTGTGGAACACCTGGCTTTAAAATTATTCAATGACGAAGCTGTTCAAAGATGTGTTGAAGTGAAAAAAACTGTATTTTATAACAAATTAGTGAAAAAGCTTACAGCACCTGGTATTCCCAAGAGGTCTCCCATACAGGTACTGACCAGGCTCAACCCTGGATAACTTCCGAGATCAGATGGAATAGTGCTTTTTCAGGGTGGCTTGGCCCTAAGCAAAGGAAAAACCTTGAAAAATCTCTGAAAAATCCCTTGTGTATTTGTCAAGGTATGATTGTGTCGCCCACTGCAATGACTAGATTCTTGCATATAGAGGTAAAAGGCTAAGTTAAACAGTTGTCTTCATCATTGTTGCTCTTTTTTAGACTCTAACAATTGGCTCCCACCCCATTTCTTGTCTCTAAAATGCCAGCACTGAGACATTATTGCTAGGGACAAATCAAAGGAGGTTTATTACCAACAAGTGTGTGCAGTTCGTGTGGAACACCTGGCTTTAAAATTATTCAATGACGAAGCTGTTCAAAGCTGTGGTGAAGTGAAAAAAACTGTATTTTATAACAAATTAGTGAAAAAGCTTACAGCACCTGGTATTCCCAAGAGGTCTCCCATACAGGTACTGACCAGGCCCAAACCTGGATTGCTTCCGAGATCAGACAGTATTGGGCTTTTTCAGGGTAGTATGGGCGTAAGCGATGGAAAAACCTTGAAAAATCTCTGAAAAATCCCTTGTGTATTTGTCAAAGTATGATTGTGTCGCCCACTGCAAAGACTAGATTCTTGCAAATGGAGGTAAAAGGCTAAGTTAAACAGTTGCCTTCATCACTGTTGCTCTTTTTTCGAGTAACAATCGGCTCCCACCCCATTTCTTGTCTCTAAAATGCCAGCACTGAGACATTATTGCTAGGGACAAATCAAAGGAGGTTTATTACCAACAAGTGTGTGCAGTTCGTGTGGAACACCTGGCTTTAAAATTATTCAATGACGAAGCTGTTCAAAGATGTGGTGAAGTGAAAAAATCTGTATTTTATAGCAAATTAGTGGAAAAGCTTACAGCACCTGGTATTCCCAAGAGGTCTCCCATACAGGTACTGACCAGGACCAACCCTGGATTGATTCCTAGATCAGACGGGATAAGGCTTTTTCAGGGTGGTATGGCTGTAAGCGATGGAAAAACCTTGAAAAATCTCTGAAAAATCCCTTGTGTATTTGTCAAGGTATGATTGTGTCACCCACTGCAAAGACTAGATTCTTGCATATAGAGGTAAAAGGCTAAGTTAAACAGTTGTCTTCATCATTGTTGCTCTTCTTTAGACTCTAACAATTGGCTCCCACCCCATTTCTTGTCTCTAAAATGCCAGCACTGAGACATTATTGCTAGGGACAAATCAAAGGAGGTTTATTACCAACAAGTGTGTGCAGTTCGTGTGGAACACCTGGCTTTAAAATTATTCAATGACGAAGCTGTTCAAAGCGGTGGTGAAGTGAAAAAAACTGTATTTTATAACAAATTAGTGAAAAAGCTTACAGCACCTGGTATTCCAAAGAGGTCTCCCATACAGGTACTGACCAGGCCCACACCTGGATTGCTTCCAAGATCAGACGGGATCAGGCTTTTTCAGGGTGGTATGGCCGTAAGCGATGGAAAAACCTTGAAAAATCTCTGAAAAATCCCTTGTATATTTGTCAAGGTATGATTGTGTCGCCCACTGCAAAAACTAGATTCTTGCATATGGAGGTAAAAGGCTAAGTTAAACAGTTGTCTTCATCACTGTTGCTCTTTTTTCGAGTAACAATCGGCTCCCACCCCATTTCTTGTCTCTAAAATGCCAGCACTGAGACATTATTGCTAGGGACAAATCAAAGGAGGTTTATTACCAACAAGTGTGTGCAGTTCGTGTGGAACACCTGGCTTTAAAATTATTCAATGACGAAGCTGTTCAAAGATGTGGTGAAGTGAAAAAATCTGTATTTTATAACAAATTAGTGAAAAAGCTTACAGCACCTGGTATTCCCAAGAGGTCTCCCATACTGGTACTGACCAGGCCCAACCCTGGATTGCTTCCGAGATCAGACGGGATCGGGTTTTTTCAGGGTGGTATGGCTGTAACGAAGAAAAAACCTTGAAAAATCTCTGAAAAATCCCTTGTGTATTTGTCAAGGTATGATTGTGTTGCCCACTGCAAAGACTAGATTCTTGCATATAGAGGTAAAAGGCTAAGTTAAACAGTTGTCTTCATCATTGTTGCTCTTCTTTAGACTCTAACAATTGGCTCCCACCCCATTTCTTGTCTCTAAAATGCCAGCACTGAGACATTATTTCTAGGAACAAATCAAAGGAGGTTAATTACCAACAAGTGTGTGCAGTTCGTGTGGAACACCTGGCTTTAAAATTATTCAATGACGAAGCTGTTCAAAGCTGTGGTTTAAGTGAAAAAAACTGTATTTTATAACAAATTAGTGAAAAGCTTACAGCACCTGGTATTCCCAAGAGGTCTCCCATACAGGTTCTGACCAGGCCCAACCCTGGATTGCTTCCGAGAACAGACGGGATCGGTCTTTTTCAGGGTGGTATGGCTGTAAGCGAAGGATAATCCTTGAAAAATCTCTGAAAAATCCCTTGTGTATTTGTCAAGGTGTGATTGTGTCGCCCACTGCAAAGACTAGATTCTTGCATATGGAGGTAAAAGGCTAAGTTAAACAGTTGTCTTCATCACTGTTGCTCTTTTTTCGAGTAACAATCGGCTCCCACCCCATTTCTTGTCTCTAAAATGCCAGCACTGAGACATTATTGCTAGGGACAAATCAAAGGAGGTTTATTACCAACAAGTGTGTGCAGTTCGTGTGGAACACCTGGCTTTAAAATTATTCAATGACGAAGCTGTTCAAAGCTGTGGTGAAGTGAAAAAAAACTGTATTTTATAACAAATTAGTGAAAAAGCTTACAGCACCTGGTATTCCAAAGAGGTCTCCCATACAGGTACTGACCATGCTCAACGCTGGATTGCTTCTGAGATCAGATGGGATCAGGCTTTTTCAGGGTGGTATGGCTGTAAGCGAAGGAAAAACCTTGAAAAATCTCTGAAAAATCCCTTGTGTATTTGTCAAAGTATGATTGTTTCGCCCACTGCAAAGTCTAGATTCTTGCATATGGAGGTAAAAGGCTAAGTTAAACAGTTGTCTTCATCACTGTTGCTCTTTTTTAGAGTAACAATCGGCTCCCACCCCATTTCTTGTCTCTAAAATGCCAGCACTGAGACATTATTGCTAGGGACAAATCAAAGGAGGTTTATTACCAACAAGTGTGTGCAGTTCGGGTGGAAAACCTGGCTTTAAAATTATTCAATGACGAAGCTGTTCAAAGATGTGGTGAAGTGAAAAAAACTGTATTTTATAACAAATTAGTGAAAAAGCTTACAGCACCTGGTATTCCCAAGAGGTCTCCCATACAGGTACTGACCAGGCTCAACCCTGGATAGCTTCCGAGATCAGACGGAATCGTGCTTTTTCAGGGTGGCTTGGCCATAAGCAAATGAAAAACCTTGAAAAATCTCTGAAAAATCCCTTGTGTATTTGTCAAGGTATGAATGTGTCGCCCACTGCAATGGCTAGATTCTCGCATATAGAGGTAAAAGGCTAAGTTAAACAGTTGTCTTCATCATTGTTGCTCTTCTTTAGACTCTAACAATTGGCTCCCACCCCATTTCTTGTCTCTAAAATGCCAGCACTGAGACATTATTGCTAGGGACAAATCAAAGGAGGTTATTACCAACAAGTGTGTGCAGTTCGTGTGGAACACCTGGCTTTAAAATTATTCAATGACGAAGCTGTTCAAAGCTGTGGTGAAGTGAAAAAAACTGTATTTTATAACAAATTAGTGAAAAAGCTTACAGCACCTGGTATTCCCAAGAGGTCTCCCATACAGGTACTGACCAGGCCCAACCCTGGATTGCTTCCGAGATCAGACGGGATCGGGCTTTTTCAGGGTGGTATGGCTGTTAGCGAAAGAAAAACCTTGAAAAATCTCTGAAAAATCCCTTGTGTATTTGTCAAAGTATGATTGTGTCGCCCACTGCAAAGTCTAGATTCTTGCATATGGAGGTAAAAGGCTAAGTTAAACAGTTGTCTTCATCACTGTTGCTCTTTTTTAGAGTAACAATCGGCTCCCACCCCATTTCTTGTCTCTAAAATGCCAGCACTGAGACATTATTGCTAGGGACAAATCAAAGGAGGTTTATTACCAACAAGTGTGTGCAGTTCGTGTGGAAAACCTGGCTTTAAAATTATTCAATGACGAAGCTGTTCAAAGATGTGGTGAAGTGAAAAAAACTGTATTTTATAACAAATTATTGAAAAAGCTTACAGCACCTGGTATTCCCAAGAGGTCTCCCATACAGGTACTGACCAGGCTCAACCCTGGATAGCTTCCGAGATCAGACGGAATCGTGCTTTTTCAGGGTGGCTTGGCCATAAGCGAAGGAAAAACCTTGAAAAATCTCTGAAAAATCCCTTGTGTATTTGTCAAGGTATGATTGTGTCGCCCACTGCAATGACTAGATTCTTGCATATAGAGGTAAAAGGCTAAGTTAAACAGTTGTCTTCATCATTGTTGCTCTTCTTTAGACTCTAACAATTGGCTCCCACCCCATTTCTTGTCTCTAAAATGCCAGCACTGAGACATTATTGCTAGGGACAAATCAAAGGAGGTTTATTACCAACAAGTGTGTGCAGTTCGTGTGGAACACCTGGCTTTAAAATTATTCAATGACGAAGCTGTTCAAAGCTGTGGTGAAGTGAAAAAAACTGTATTTATAACAAATTAGTGAAAAAGCTTACAGCACCTGGTATTCCCAAGAGGTCTCCCATACAGGTACTGACCAGGCTCAACCCTGGATTGCTTCCGAGATCAGATGGGATCGGGCTTTTTCAGGGTGGTATGGCTGTAAGCGAAGGAAAAACCTTGAAAAATCTCTGAAAAATCTCTTGTGTATTTGTCAAAGTATGATTGTGTCGCCCACTGCAAAGTCTAGATTCTTGCATATGGAGGTAAAAGGCTAAGTTAAACAGTTGTCTTCATCACTGTTGCTCTTTTTTAGAGTAACAATCGGCTCCCACCCCATTTCTTGTCTCTAAAATGCCAGCACTGAGACATTATTGCTAGGGACAAATCAAAGGAGGTTTATTACCAACAAGTGTGTGCAGTTCGTGTGGAACACCTGGCTTTAAAATTATTCAATGACGAAGCTGTTCAAAGATGTGTTGAAGTGAAAAAAACTGTATTTTATAACAAATTAGTGAAAAAGCTTACAGCACCTGGTATTCCCAAGAGGTCTCCCATACAGGTACTGACCAGGCTCAACCCTGGATAACTTCCGAGATCAGATGGAATCGTGCTTTTTCAGGGTGGCTTGGCCCTAAGCAAAGGAAAAACCTTGAAAAATCTCTGAAAAATCCCTTGTGTATTTGTCAAGGTATGATTGTGTCGCCCACTGCAATGACTAGATTCTTGCATATAGAGGTAAAAGGCTAAGTTAAACAGTTGTCTTCATCATTGTTGCTCTTCTTTAGACTCTAACAATTGGCTCCCACCCCATTTCTTGTCTCTAAAATGCCAGCACTGAGACATTATTGCTAGTGACAAATCAAAGGAGGTTTATTACCAACAAGTGTGTGCAGTTCGTGTGGAACACCTGGCTTTAAAATTATTCAATGACGAAGCTGTTCAAAGCTGTGGTGAAGTGAAAAAAACTGTATTTTATAACAAATTAGTGAAAAAGCTTACAGCACCTGGTATTCCCAAGAGGTCTCCCATACAGGTACTGACCAGGCCCAAACCTGGATTGCTTCCGAGATCAGACAGTATTGGGCTTTTTCAGGGTAGTATGGGCGTAAGCGATGGAAAAACCTTGAAAAATCTCTGAAAAATCCCTTGTGTATTTGTCAAAGTATGATTGTGTCTGATAGGTAATTTAATTTTATCCCATATTACCTTAAAGGACGACACACCGGAAGAGAGAGAGAGAGAGAAAATTGATTATTTGTAATGTCCATGTGTGTGGCTCAACCAGCCCCCACTCTGCTCCAGCCTCAAAGCTTTCTCCTCACCTGCTCTGTATACCTGCATTCTTCAATTATCTGGTAGATAATATTTAACCTCCATAACCCTGGAACCTGAAATAAACACACATGACAACAAGGAAGACATTTTACACTGAATTAGCCAAATGAGGGGGAGATCACCGAAATGACACATAACTCTCTCCAGAGCTATGGTGCCAGGTGACTCCCCTAGTCCTCAGAGTCTTCAGTGGTTTTATTCAAGCAAAGGGTGGGGGGAGAAGGCGGACCTTCTCAAGTTACAGAGGTACAGAGTTTTCTCAATTAACATCCTTGCTCTACCTTTCATGAACAGCAACAGTTGGCCATCTTTTAGGCCTCAAAAAGGTACAATTATAAAAATACCCAACATTCCCTCCTGATGTGACTTTTTGAGCAAGAAAAGATGAAACCAATAAAACACATTATCATGAAATTAGGACACACCTACCAACCTGGAATTTGAAATGACCAATTAATCAATCGGATTTTAGTTCAACATTAAACCAGACATCAAACCCAATTTTATCCTGTATTTCTAGCTTTATTAATTTATCCCCCTGAAAGCTACCTTTGAGCAATGATTATCCTTTCAACAAAACCCAGAGCAAGAGTTAAAACCTGGAATTAGGAATGAATAAACTAGACACCAAAACCTACATAATAATCTTGAGTTCCTAGCTTTATTAAGGTAACCACATCATTTGTCATCAAACACTTGTGGATCTTCTGCTCCACATCCGTCGTTACCTCCTGTGCTGCAATCGATCGCTTGTAGGACTGAACAGGTGTCACAGGTTTTGAGTTTTCTGTGGCTGGCTGACCTGCGGTTCTGGTTCCCTCCTGAAGTTGGTGTTTGACCTCTGCACCTCATCTCCAGTTCAGGTGTGATATCTCGGTCACACTGTGCTCTCAGCTTTGCGTCGTCCCGCTGACGTGTCGACGCAGGTCACTTCCTGAGAGAGCTGACTGGCCCACAGCGGGTTTCATGGTTTTACATCAGCTCACAGGTTGGTACCGGTTTCAGCTAACTGATCCACTTGGTTTGTGGTTTAACATTAGCTCAGCTGGTGACGGTGGTTTGTGTCACTTCCGTCTTGGACTGCAAGTCAGCAGTTTAGCCATGTCTTTCGTGCTTCCTCCATCTTGGATTGTAGGTCTCCACCTCCTTCTGAACACACCTACAAGTCACAAAAGCTTCAAAGATCCACAGCAGGATGCCACAGACACAGACCAATTTGCATTCAGTTAGATATGAGTTCAACTTCCACAGCTGCTTGCCCAAAGGAACTCAGATCCTCTGAAGTCTTTTCATCGACACTTTTCTCCTGAGTCTGCCATTCCTGCATTCGGAGAGTAGCAGGACATGACATAGCAAACCATCTTGTGTTGCAATCACAATACCTTCCTGGTTGTTGAGGGTCAATGGGGCACAAAGCGTCTTGTGTCCAATCCGTGTCCTTTGATGTTTTCTGCAGGAACCAATGCAGCCAGCCACTGATCTTTATCACCTGTTAATCGAGTTGCCACCATCACATCACAGCAGGACACAAATCAAGGAGTCTCCCAGCCTGTCTTTGCCTAGGGAACAATTTGCATTTAGGAAATCAGTGTACCCAAAAGTTGTGCTGCCTAATTGTCTAAATTAATAAACATTGATGTCTGGTTTAGCATGAAACTAGTCAGATATGGTCTGTCCTAAATCATCACAAACGAAATAAAACACAAAACACATACAAATTCTTTAAAACTAGCTTGTCTCAAAAGGAGTTAATCAGAGATTCTATCACACTAAGGCGGAGTTAACACACTCACGTCACAGAGGCTTCAAAGAGGTTTTTCACAAAAGGGTGCCACAAGAGACTTCCAGTCTAGCTTGATTTAGCTGCTTAGGAAACATTTGCATTCTAATTTAAATGAACCAGCCCGTCTCCAACTTTTTCACAGGAGTGTCACAACACAATTGTAAGGTAATCAAAAGGGTTAAAACACCACTTTATCAGTTACACCATCCCCTCCTGTGGAGGTAGGCTTCTCACACATTTACAGGATCTAAGTTAATCAAAATGAAGTTACTCAGATTTATTAAACCTTATAACCCAAACAGAAAATAAACGATGGTAATAGCTCAAATGTTGAAATAGTTACAAAACAGCCTTACTGTTGAGTAAAATAAAATATGGTCTGCAGGGGCTGAGTTAATGTTTACATTTCAAACAAGATTTGCATAGGAATAGCATACAGGAAAAATCTAGCACTGTGTTGATTCAATCATGTTATTAAATGAACACCAGTTACTTAATCTATCAATGGTCGACAAGACACATTTAACGGGAAGTTTTTAAGGTTCATAAAAGATCTAAACACCCTCCTGTAAAACCAGTCAACGGCAGGAACACCAAGTTTAACATGATTTAGTCATATGACTGCATAGTGTAGAATTCTATTTACCTAAGAACATAACCCACTAAAGTAAAACTGCATAATCTAAACAATAATACCGAGCATGGTAACACTACCTTACATCTATCAGACTAGAAAATTTAAACAATAGGTCTCATAAAATCAGCTGAAATATTTAGTTTGGGGCTGTTTCTATATAGTCCAGTAAAGGAACAGCCTACCACTTGTGAAATAGAGACCATCTTGAGTCAAAGTTGTATTTTTAATCTTGGTTCATGAGCAAAAGGTATCTTCGGATCCAGAGTAGCTGCTGCACAGCTAATCTGTTTCCGTGTGGCGAAACCAGAGCTATAAGCAAAGAGTCTGTCATTTTAAAATGGCATAAGCTATTTATAAGGTTATGTGCCTCTAAACACTAAAACCTACGTGATTTGTTTATTCTAACAAACTACATGATCTTTTAGAAAGGGTATTTATTTATTTTAATAAAAACAATAAAAGGCC